ACCCTGGCCAATAATGTTGCATACGGTGTGTCAAAGGCCGCTCTTATTAAACTAACTGAATCGATTGCAAGGGATTTCGGTTCAAAGGGCATTCGAGCGAATTCAATCTGTCCAGGAATGGTTCGAACACCGTAAATATTTATATTACAATATTTCGACGAGTCATTTTTCTAAAGGAACATATTTTTAATTTGTTATTAGAATATTCCAAACCGGGTGGGGCATAACAAAAGAAGAAGCTGATAAATATCTCGATGAAAATGGTAAACTTTATCCACTTGGGCGTGCTGGTGAGGTATCGGATACATCGAATGCGATTGAATTTTTGATTAGCGAGCAGGCAGCTTTCATCACAGGATCTTCATTAACCGTTGATGGCGGATCCATTGTTGGGATGGTCGATGCATAAATGAATAGTAATTTCATAATGAGAGACGTAGAGTGGGTTATGTTTTTCGAAATGCTATGTCAAAATGAAGTTCTGCTTTATTTTTAACTAAATCGCCGAAAAATATCCAACTCTTATCTCCATTTTTGCTAACAAAAAGAACATATTTTTCACCAAAAAAATGTAAATTTTCTATAAAATTTTCGAAATGGTTAAAAATTATATATATATATTGTCAAATGTATCACAAGTGGAAATAAATCATGCAATCGTTAAATAAATGTGAACATTTTTTGCTCAAATCAAGCCTGGTACGTCTTTTTTGAAATAGTAGTTGAAATGAAGATTATTTCAAAGGCAATGGGAAGCAATTTGCGCGATATAATAAGCGCTAAATTAATTTGTTTATATATGGGTTACGCGTGCTTATGCCGACATAGAAACTGTATTCATACTAAAAACAGCTTCAATATGAGTGTACAATGTATGTACAATAAAAAAATGACATGTGCCAAACTGCGTCTGATTAATTCAATTTATCGTTACCCGGCCGAGCGGACGAACATCGTATAAAGAAGAAAATGAAATTACAACTTTTGGCACTTGTTATTTTGCATTTTAGCACATAAATCCAGTTTGTGTGTTATTCTCTCGTTTGGTGTGTGTTTTTGTCATTCGCTCGCTTTATCAAACGAAGTCTATTATTTCTTCATTAAAATAGTAAGTCATTAGTTTGTTTCTTATGATTATTTTCAATCGTTTCGGGGAAAATATAAAAAAAGTGAAAAACAAAATGCAAATCAGTCATAATTAAAGTGACAAAATTCGAAAAAAACAAATATTTCTGACATAAAATATACCGAAGCTCATAAAGCAATATATGTGTGATTTACGATCGACATTGGAACCCACCATTGGCATGAATTTACATTTTTTGAAAAGTATAAAAATGCACATTTATTTTTCAAATATCACCAACCTGTTATTGACACTGCGGAAGTTCGGGCACTAGTGAGTGCCAGCACCTAATCCATAAAAATGCTTAACTGCCGCACCCGAACGCAAGAAAGAGTGACACTTACAAAAATGTGTTCCCACCTCCGCGGTGCTTTGTACCGCTTTGCTCACCAATTGATGAAGAAGAATTCGTTTTTTGCATGTGAATTGTATTCTACAGCTATCATAGAAGGTCGAACGACCATTCATAGAATAACCAATTCCGATCTAACATAGCCGGTTTTCTGTTTCACACATAAAGAAGATTGTATAGAATTTGGTGATTTACGAATTTTAAATAATTGAAAAAGTATGAATTTTTATTTGGTTTTTCAACCAGACTATTATTTGATACCAATAAACTGTATTAATGTTGAAAAACAAAATAAAAGTTCATACTTTTTCAATTAATAAAAAAATGATAATTTTTCATTTTACTTTGAGAGTTTTTTCTCCAAACATTCAAAGTGTTATGATAAATTATGTTATCCAATCTAACGCACAAGAGATGTGAACTTCCCTATGACTCGTTTTTGTTATTAAAATGTCACTTTTCATTAAGAAATAATCATTCCATAGTATTTTCAAGCTGTTTATTCCATTCAAATCTCGTTTCATCGAAGCGTCCAATTAAAGTCACAACGATCATCACTCAGTGTTGTTAGTTTAAATAAGCACTAATTCAATTTAAAAGCGTTTTTTCTTGTGTTTTAACATCATCATAACTGAAAATACCAAACTCTGATTGCGAATGCGTACAGCAAAAATCAGAAAGAAAAAAACCCGCACTGATAACAAACTTGACCCAAATTATGATCAACAACATGCATGATTCATTTCATAAACAGAAATTTCTGGATTACATTTTCATACTGTATTCTTTCAAATTGCTTATAATCAGTAAACTCGCATTCAAATTTGAGAAAAAAACATATAAACAAGTCGAAGAAACGTTCAACGACGTTCGACGAAAATATTATAAAAACACGTACGAAGGTAACCGTTTGTGCATATGTATTTTTTTTTCCAAAGACGCGAAACAAAGCATAGCAATGACAGGAGTGCGAATAACAAACTCGAAGAAGAGCAAAAACTTTTTTCTTCAAAAATAATACAAGTGTCGCAGTTTTTTTTCATGCAATGTTATTTTTAGCAGTCGTATTTTTTCTGTCACATTTGTTCTGAAAGCATCGCATTGTAATTTTAGCTCTCAAGGTGAAAGATGAAGTTATTCTTCGTATTCGCACTTTGTATATCAAGCAGTTTTGCTGGATCGATTCCAGGTAAATCTTTAATTAAATACCTTTCCCATGCTAGGTGCACGGAAGCGTAGTAAATATTTGACGATCATTGTTTTTATTTCAGAACCACAACATGAACACACGTAAGGCAGTAAAATAATTTTTGTCGTTAGTCAATTGAACTGAGTTTGTTTCATTTCGTTTCGTTCATATTTTGAAGGTCAAAAGCGGTGGATCGATTGCATTATTTCGTTGTAGATGGTTAGTTCCAAAAATTGTGAGATCTTCGAACTATATTCACTAATTCTCATAATTTTCTTCCATATTTTACAGATAAAAATTCTGAAATAACGAAATTATTGAAAGAAGGAGCAAATACAATTATCCGTATTATAAATAAACACATGCCAGCGCATGCCGATCAGACAAACGGTAGAATACACTCAATTGAATCACAAAAAAAAAACTTTATAAATTGAATGAATTGTTATTATCACACAAAAGACGACGAACATTCGACTGAAGCCACAACCGAAACTTCAACAGAATCACTAATAGAACGTATCAATATCAATGCTTTGAATCATATTGGATATACAAAATTAATGGAAGCTGTGTCGCATGGTTTGTTGAGTTGAATGAAATATTCTCAATGTGATCATTAAAATCAGTCATTTGTTGACATTTCAATTTGAACATTTTTGGACTAGGTGAAGGCGATATTGTCAATATGCTTCTTGAACTGGGCGCAAAACCAAACATTCAACAACCAGTATCTGGCACAGGCGCTTTAGCTTTGGCGGCTCAGTATGGTAAGATGTTACAAAAAATGTTTGGAGCTATTTTGGGGTAACCATATTTGAATCTAAATCGCTTTTGACATTTTCAAGTGCTCTTTTTGCGACAAATTGCACTCTTTTGGATGAAAATAGACAATTTTCTTCGAAGCAAACGTGTTCAATTCACAAATGACTTCATCAATATGTCATTCTCATTCCAAAGTATTTATAAAATGTTAATTTTTACAGGATTTGAAGACATTGTTGAAAATCTGATTAAACACAACGCCGACGTCAATATTGTTGATAATAACGGCGATGATTCACTTTATTTGGCACTAAAAAATGGTAAACGGAATCTTTTTGTTCTAAATTAAAATGAATTCATTGGCATTTTCATGAACTTTTCTCAGGTTTCTATTCAATAGCGGCAACACTCGTCGAACATGGTGCAAATCTCAGCCAATATAAAGAATTGTCAAAATCAACTGTTCTTGGTTGTGTGGCAGCCAAAGGTAAACTAAAAAGTCGTTGATACCTGGTTTTGTTCATTGCTTCTTAAAGCTTCAGTCTGAAGTTTTGGCTGACGGAGTATGCGTCATGACATCGATCCATCATTGAGATCGCCATCAACGGATTGATGATGGATTCCGTCTCCAATTGATGTAAAATAAGAAGATTTTTCATACCACGAAACTTAATGACAGAAACGATATTAAGGCGCATACCAACGCCAGCCACAGATTCAGTCTATGAATCGGAAATAGCTCAAAGAAGCAAAAATGATAAAAGGAGAAATCAAATTTTACTTTTATAGTCGATCTCAAGTTCCGTCTTGTACTTGCAAAAAATGACATTCACTTTGATGACTGGAAAAATGGACTGGAAATGGCAATTAAACAAGGTATGGACACTCGCCCAAATGTCGGACTATTTGTTTGAATTTTCAACTTCAATTTAATATTTAACATTTTTGATTTCATGAAAAAATATCATTTTATACACAATTCGATGCAGAATTTAATTGTGCTTCATTTCACGTTTCTCAAAAGATAGTAATTTCCAAAAATGTATTATTTTTTTCCATTTTTTCGTCATAACATCGAAAATTCCAAATGTCGGATATTCGTCGTCCAATTCTCGGCTCCCTAATCTCGACATATTTCATGCATTTTCACTGCGAAACTTGAGCAACTTTAAGTTTTGACAGCTCATGAACGCATTTTTTACATTGAGGTAAACAATACAAAATATCGAAGTTGAAATTATTGGATTGATATATTTTTGCTCCATATTTCATTTTACTTATTTTTCTATAGTAAAGTGGCAAAAATATTTAAAAATATTACGTTATTTCACTGATCTAGAATATTTTTGGTTTGAATTTCACAATGATCCAAATACGACTTTAACTGTCACATCTGTCAAATCCAAAGTGTTTCACTTGAAACTTCGGTGCTTTATGTGTCGGCAATTGGACGATTTATTCCGGAATAATATTACAGTGAAAAATGAAAAATAAATATAATTGTTTTTCTTTATATTTTCAAAATTTCTGTTCAATAATTAAATTAAACTATCTACAATTCGTCGATATAATTTTTTTTCCAAACTAGTTATTTTTTCATATAAAAAAACGCATTTTACCGGCTTTTCTCAAAATGACATAGCTTAACTTTTGACGTGAAAAAGTGATAAAAATGCCGAATTTTTTTTGAACGTAATTTGTGAAAGCAATAATAGATTTTAGATTAAAATTTGGATTATAATAAAGAGATTTGATATTGATCTTTCATAATTTACTTTTAAAAATGCAATTCAAATGAATTTTCAATTTTTAATTTCAATTCACCTCTCGGTATTCCGACATTTGGTCGTGTGTCGACATTTGGAAATCTACTGTATTACTTTTCCGCACACATTGTGTGGTTCTTAAACATGTTTAGATTAGTTCAATGAATCGTCTTTTTAGGTGATGCTAAGACAACCGAGTTAATAATCAACGAGTGTCCAGTTGATTTAAGTAAAATAAAAAAACCGTATCCACTTCATTTGGCCGCTAGTGGAGGTAATTCGATAGCAATTTTCACTTTTTTCGCAATTCTTGTGCTTGAGCACGAAATCTTTCTAAAAGTGTTCAACTATTTTCAAAAATATTCATTACGAGTGGCTGCTTGGCCGTACCTTTTCTTTGATTTACCAAAAATTTTGAAAACAAATTCAATTCGGATTATTTTCTCCATTAGGTTTTGAAGATGTAATTGAAGTTCTTCTAAACAATGGAGCTGACATAAATGCGGAGGACAATTACGGAAATCAACCGTTATTTTGGGTGAATATCAAATCAATTCAGTTTTATCAAAACATTTTTTAATTTTTTGTAACATTTTGTGTTTTTTCAGGCGGCATATAGTGGAAGAGACAGTATTGCCAAACAGCTTCTCAATCACGGTGCTAAAATCAATACCAGAAATAAAAATGGATTTACCCCGCTCCATCTAGGTAAATGATAAAATGCCTTAAACAATTATAGCAAGTTGATTTTAATTTCTTGATTATTTTATTTTTCACAGCATGCCATGAAGGTAAATTTTAAATCAATTTAAATTCGTTCTTCTGTTCAATGATCTGTAAAGGTTAAAATATGTTAAACTTTCACCGTCAGGTAAAACAAAGGTTGTTGAAGTCCTGCTTGAAAATGGAGCCGACATAAATGCTACATCTAATAAAGGCGATACTCCGATTATGTGGGCGGCGTACTTTAGTAAGTACAAAACGAAACAGTTAAAAGGAAAAATAATTAATTTCAAATTCAATTTCATCAGATCACTTGGACATCGTACAAATATTGATAAAAAATCATGCCAACGTTTATCTTAACAACAACGCCGGCACCACTGCTCGAGAGTTTGCCAGAGAAAAGGGATATTCGTCGATTGCGAACATTTTAATGGATGCTGAACGAGATTCTTAAATAGAAGAAATTTGGTCACTTTTGTAAATATGAAGTTTCGAATTGAATAAAAAGCTCGCAGAAAAATTTCTTCTTCTTTTAATAAAAAATTCCAATTTTCGTAAAAAAAAACTTTTTTAAATTAATCTCAGTTGGAAAATTGATATCGGTGTACGAATAAATTCGTATGTGTTATTTGCTCGGAATTTCTCGTCAGTTCAAATTAATTAAATAGAATTTTCTTTTTGATATGCTTTGAATTTGAACTAAAACTAGCAATACCTACAGTTGTGATAACAATCAGGCCAAGCACAAGCCAGAACATACACGAACATATAGGTGCAGTCATTGTTTTTGTATCTTTTGTTTACATTCATAATTGAGGTTGCTGAAAGGTTATTTGAAAAAAAAAAGCTGATTATCTTCCAATGTTATTGTACATTTTTATTCAGAGTTTTTCAGTATATTACGTATTCAAAATTAAATTTCTTAATCCTATTCTATGCATGTGATATCATGCCAAAATATGCTCCGATTATCTTCTGCGTCATGTTGTTTTCAATCAAAGTGTATCAATTTGAAATTCCATATTCCAATCATACGAATCAATGCGTCTCATTTCGATCAAATTAAATTCCGTTTTTATCATTGTCCATTTTGTTGCCAAGTAGACATCTTCTTTAACATAAAACGTAATTTTCGTGGCGAAACCCACTTTTTCCCTTTCTTCGTTCAATGCCTTTAAGTCGATAACATTACTTTGTTCATCAAAATGAATTCCGCCACGCAGGCATCTAACTTTAATTTTATTCAATTTCGGTGCTCGATGGATAAATGGTAAAATATCATCTGTAGATGCATCCAGAAAATAAATGCGTCGTAGATTCGTGAGTGCATTTGGTAAATGTTCCAAATCATTGACGGCATGAGTGCACGTGATGCAAAGTTCTTCCAAATTTATTAAACAAGAGAGATTAATGTAGTTTTGACGTGAATTGGCTGCCACTTTAACAAGTGCCTTGACTGATTTTAATTCTTCGATAATTTTTTGATTGAATCCCAAAGGATGATCGAAATACAAATGTAATTTCTTGTAAAATCCACTATCATAAAGTTTATTTAAAAGGCGACAAAATGACATCAAATAAACTCTTTTATCGTATTTGATCGCCAAAGTGTTCAATTTGAGATTCGTGTTTGTCATCGTTTGTTGATTGAACCAAAAGAATTTGGCACCAGTTGATAATCTCTTGATGTTTGGGTTCAATTGGAAAAATGTCGCCAATTCTTCGATTTCAAGACCGATGGCTGTCAACAATTGAAAGTGTTCAAGCAAGGGATAATGTTGCAGAAGCCAATTATACTGCGTTCCAATGATCGTCGTTCCATCCACGCACAGTCTCCTTAAATTTGAACAAAACATCAAAAACGTTTCGAAAAAATCACTTTCAATCTTACACTCTAGCAGTTCGACCGCTTCAACGCGGCCAAGTATCACTTGCATGCATTCAATTTTCGCTTTCGTCAATATGTGATCGTAGAAACGAATTTGGACGAGCGAATGAAGACGATTCCATCGAAGAAATTCGTAAAATGCTTCATTTGATTGTAGAACCCGGATTTTCCGAATAAAATCGATCAAAAAATTTGCATGCACATAATTCACATCAAAATCATAGTAGAATGTTGCTCTTGCCGCTTCATAGCTCTGGCGAAAACAATGACCAACAATTTGCTGCATTCGCTTGCTTGTTTCACCAACAATTGCCAATTGTTTCAAGGATAGGTAATCGAACACTTCTTCAAAGCAATCAATGTTTAAATTGAAAATAGACGATTGACACATTTTCAGTTGAACGTCAGATGTGACGATGATCGATTGATGTTGATTATGCTCATGTTCATCGTTTGACTTCCTTTTTTTTTCGCTCGGTTCATTGTCGGTATTGTTATTGTCATACTGTTTTTCATTCATCGTTCTCATTCAGCTTATCAGTAAGCTATTTACAGAACTAATAATGAGTCGAAAAATATACGGGAAAAAAATCGAAACTTGTTTATGCGTTCGATAGCTCTATTTCTACAGACGGAAGTTAATAGTATTATTATTTACGAAAAAAACGAAATTAATTCAAATAAATTAACAAACGCACCAAATATGTATACCATAGGCGAGTGCAAGAGGAAAACTGAGCACGTAGACCAACAACTAGGAGAATTTTGTTTGTAAATAGTCGGAATGATTTTGTTTTCAGAGCGATTGTGTTATCACAAAGCGATACACTGACAATATTTATGGTGATGTTCCTATCTATGAAAATGACATTTGATTTGAAGGAAAAGTGTAGTAAACAAACACTTTAAGTACATCGTTTACGTACCGCAACAAATTTTAAAGTGATCGAAGATTGACGAGACTTTCGGTTTGTAAGTTAACCCTCAAACGATCACAATTGCTTTAACTAGCACAACCATTATTTTTGATCAATTTTAAAATACTTATTCCTCAAGAGACTCAGCTAATCTTAATTACCATGAAACTATTGAGGTTTGACTGTCTGATTTGTAGAATGAAATGAAAAAAGTAAATAAAATCAAATACATTTTCGTCGCAACCTCTATAATATAATTTTACATTATCAGCTTAAGAGAGGATCGTTTCCATTTCATTATCGTTTCATTTCGTTCATACTGAAGTCCGTCTGTTTCATTGCCCATTTTGTAGCCAAATACACATCTTCATGGACGTAGATCGTGATCTTTCGCGCTCCAACCAATTTCTCACGCTCTTTATTCAACGCAAATAAATCGAACATGTTGTCGTTTTTATGGAAATGTAATCCACTCTGAAAATAAAATGTCTTACAACCGTAAGATGAACTTTTCCACAACATGCATTTATTACAAATCTTTTACTCAAAGAATTCACGAGAAAACTGACATTAGTTTTACGATATAAATGATTTTCGACACACTTTTCATACAAAAATGACTAAAAATGGGAATTTTTGTATGTAATCAATCCCTATATGATATCGTAATCATGTGAAAGTTTGCAGAGGTTATTTTTTTCACAAAAAGTTAACATTCTGAAAGTTTGAAGACATTTCAATACAATTGAGTGGTACCTTCCATACAAAATTTTCGTTTTTGAGCAAAAACCACAATTTTGTTCGGGAGGTACCCCTAATATACGTTGAAATGTCTTCAAACCCTCGGAATGTTATTTTTGTGTGATAAAAATATCCTGTGCAAAGTTAAAGTGCAAAGTGTGTGTCGAAATATATTTGTATCGCAAAACTAACGTCATATTCGGTTTTCTCGTACCCAAAAACCCACCAACACATATTTTTGAGTGTTTAAGAATACATTAAATATCACTTTTGGGGGAAAAATTGAATTTCTCCCATGGATGGACATGGGCATCACACCAGCCCCGACACTTCACTCTATCAACCAAAGTCGCTAAAAATCTAATGGTTTCTATTCCTCGGTACCCCCAATTATCCTGTGAAGTCAGATTTTGAATTACTTTTCTTGTTTGAAAGTTATCGTGTTCCCTGGCTCCTAAAACACCCAGAAAACATGTTTTTTGAGGGTGTTAATTTTTCGACCGATTCCAATACTTTACCTTACACACTAGGTGTGTGCGGAAAAGTAAAATTTCACTTGTATTTTGTTCAATTTTTCTGCGTGGCAAATGAATGGTAAAATGTCATCAGAACTGGATTGGTCAATTTTAATGCGTTTCAGTTTCCGTAGGATATGTGGAAGTGACTTCAGATCAGTTAAAAAACGACTTTCACCGTTGACGTGTAGTTCTTCCAAGTTTCTTAAAGCACCAATATTGTCATTATACCAACTGACACATAATCTTACCAAACCTTTGACTGAATCCAAAATTCGCCATAAAAATTCATTTTCTCATAAAATTCACTCTCGTAGAGCTCATTTAGCAAACGGCAAAATAAATCGAATTCGAGTTCATAGTTGTTATGAGCAATCGCCAATATATCAAATTTGATGGTTGAATTTTTGAACAACTCTAGAATAGAGCTCTATTCGACCAGAAAAGTGTTGTATCGACAGAAAATTGCTTAATTGTGGTGTTTAGCTCAAAGAATGTTTTAAATTCTGGTTTTTCTCGCCATCTAAGACCATTCAATTTAACATGTTCCAATTTTGGGTAGATTCGATGCATCCATTGGTGTTCGTATGACACCATTCATCCAGTGATAAATATTTGACATTTGAGCAGGCAGCAATCAATGCATCCAATACATTTGTATCAAAATTACAGTATTGTATTGCTATGCGTTCAGCTTTACTGAGAACTACTTTCATTTCGTTAATCCGAGCCATTGTTAAAGAAACAGCAACAATTTTGATCCCTTTAATTGATCTTAAATGTCTTAAAGGAGTTTCAAAATCTATGATGTCACCAAACTCATCTTCATCGTCTGTGAACATGTCATCCATAACTTTGACGTTTTGTAGGAAATTGCTAAAACAATCTGCCTTGACTTGATTAAGATAAAAACCATCTATGTCAATGTAAAAACCAAATTTGGTAAAGTATGCTCTTGTGATTTCATAGTTTAGTTGGAAAAAATGACCAGCGATTCGTTGCATTCGTTTACAAGTTTGTCCCATTGCTGCCAAATCCGACAGCGATAAATAGTCGAACACTTCTTCGAAACAATCGATGTTTAGTTTGAAAATATCAGCCGAATGTTGTACCCCGTTCCCAGCAACAATAGCATTTTCCACTCGATTAGTCTCTTTATCAGTTGGCTTAATTCTCTTCGTACTTTGATCGTTCATTTTGTTTAAATTATCGATCTGTTGACTACGTGAAACAAAGAAGGTTCAATTAACACACTAATTCATTTTTAATGAATAAAAATTTGTAGAAGGACCACAATATTGACAACTTGTGTGATAGTGTAAAACAATAGACTCTGTTTTTCATGTACGGCAAAGCCATGAAACAAGTTTTACCTTAAGTCTCTTTTTTGCCAATAATATCAAACAATATTCAAATGAGCGGCAATAGTGTTGAGTTTCTTCTCTTCGAAGGACAACTGCGCTATTTTTTCTGAATAATTATTTTGACACGAATTCGTTCCAATGAACTGACATTTGATAAGTACAAATTCAATTATTAAAAGTAAATATTTAAGTAAAGATCGTTTAAATTCATAATACACTGCCAGTTTTTGGCCGTAGAGCTTAATGTGAAACGTGGAACCGTACTACTAAGAAAAACAAACTACTCGACATTCATATTTTGAATTTTTTGCCACAATTTTTTTAAAATAAATTACACCTTGAAAATTCATCGGATGTATCGAATCCTACATTCTGTAGTGAGCCATTTGATGCAAGTGGCATCAGCGATCAAGTAAGACGTTGGAGCTACGTGGAATGTACATATCCACCAGGTCAATTAAACCCACACAATGAACCGTTTGATCAAAAGACCGTGTGCAAAAAGGTCATACAACTTGGTATGCACTCAGAGTGAATTTTGTTTCGATTTGTAATATTTTTCTCTCTTGCAGTTGATGATAAGCGCGTAGTAAGTCGATCTTCTTTCTGGGAAAAAATTGGTGCTGCGAAGGACGAGTGTTTGCATAATAATACACCATCGTATATAAAGACGGAATTTTGCGAGACATGCGATGGCTGTAATACATATTTTCTCCACGTAACCATCTCTACATGGTCTAAAAGGCAAAGCTACATATCATATAATATAAAATATTTGTGTGTTTTTTCAATTTTTTTTATTTATTATAAATTCTATTAATTATTTTCGTTAATATTATTGCAAAACTTATTCAATTTATACAATTTTGCAAGAAAAAAATATTTGCAAGAAAAAAATATTTGCAAGAAAAAAATATATGAGAAGCTGGCGTGAAAGAGATGGCGCTTCTTAAATCGAGTCGCGTTGAAAGCCGACTGTAAGTGATACTCGATATCATTTCTACCCAAACCGGTGCAAAATCTTACCAAACTTTTTAGTGAAGCCAATTGTGTTGACGCATCCAATCTGTACCATAAAAATACAGTTTCTTATGAAATCCCGACTGGTCAAAACCATCTTCATTAAATCGTGCTTGATCGGCTCCTTAGTTTTGTTGAAACAATGATCCACAATTCGTTGCATTCATTTACATGTTCGGCCTATTGCTGTTAAATCTGCCAGCGATAAATAGTTGAACACCTCTTCAAAACAGTCGATGGTAAGTTTGAAAATATCAGCCAATTGTTTTTCCCCGTTTAAAGCAACAACAGCACGTTCAGCTGGATTATACTCTTTATCATTCGGTTTCATCCTCTTGGTGATTGGTCCACTTTGATCATCATTTGTTCATGAATCATTCTGTCTGCTTTGTCAGTCTATTACAAATAACAAATGTAATAAAAAACAGACGCAATTGTTTTAATGAAATAAAATGAGTGAATAGAACTACACTATTGACACGGTGTAACTGGGTTTTTTATGAATGTACAAAAAAAGTTTGCTATAAAATTATATTTTGGTTGTGAAAAAGTAAAAGGAAAAGCTATCAAGAAAATCTATAATTTTTTCTGTATTTCAATGAACAGACAAAAACTAGCTTTAATATTTGAAAAGTATTGGTCTAGGTGTTGCTTGTATACGTAAAAATATTATATATTTATGAAAAAATTGTATATCACATTTACTAAGAAATCTGTTCAACTGTTT